TCTGTAGAACTTTTTGTTCATCTGTAGGATTTCTGTGGATCTCGTCTGGACAAGGAACTTCCTTGTCATCTGTTATTCCGAGCTGCACACCTGAGTCAGTGTTGGTGTTTCTGTGTTGCTGTGTATTTGTGTTGGTCGCGACCGGCCCCCATGGTCTGGGGAGCCCGATATTTTGGGGCTCAGCATGTATCTGAAGGATACGTGAACCTGAGCGAAGTGACAACCTCGCCATCTGATTTTGTTCTTTCAGTTTTTCTCCGGAGTCGCGCTAAGCGGTACCTTGTCGCCGGCTGTCTATTTTTGTTGTTTCTGTTGTTTGTCTGTTTCATTGTGATTTTAGAATACCCCAAAATGGGACAACACCTAACCACCCCCCCTGCTCTGTGTTGCTGTGTATTTGTGTTGGTCGCGACCGGCCCCCATGGTCTGGGGAGCCCGATATTTTGGGGCTCAGCATGTATCTGAAGGATACGTGAACCTGAGCGAAGTGACAACCTCGCCATCTGATTTTGTTTTTTCAGTTCTTCCCCGGAGTCGCCCTAAGCGGTACCTTGTCGCCGGCTGTCTATTTTTGTTGTTTCTGTTGTTTGTCTGTTTCTTTGTGATTTTAGATTACCCCAAAATGGGACAACACCTAACCACCCCCCTGAGTTTAACTCTAGATCACTGGAGAGAAGTTAAGAGCCGAGCTCACAATCAATCTGTGGAGATCAAGAAGCACCAATGGATAACCTTTTGTTCCTCCGAGTGGCCAACGTTTAATGTTGGTTGGCCTCGGGATGGGACTTTTGACTCTGATGTTATTTTGCAGGTTAAGGCTAAGATCTTCTCCCCTGGACTAACGGGACATCCGGACCAAGTGGCCTATATAGTCACTTGGGAAAACCTCTCCCTCGAACCACCACCGTGGGTGACTCCTTTTCTCAGTCCTACACGAAGAGTCCCCCTCCCTTCTGCCCCTAATCCGGACCCTTCGACCACCTCCTTGTGTCCTGTTGTGGTAAAACAAAAGCCTGTTCTGCCCCCTGATGAGAGTGCTCCTGCTGATCTGCTGAGTGAGAATCCCCCTCCCTACCGCCCTCCTCCGCAGGCCACTGCAGCTGTACCAGGTGACGCCCAAGCAGAGGGATCGGAGGTCGCTCCCTCCCCCATTGCAGGGTGGCTCAGAGACAGGAGAGGCCAAGGAGATTCCTCACACATCCTGCCCCTCCAACTTGCAGGAGGGGAAGGAAACCAGTTACAGTATTGGCCCTTCTCCGCTTCAGACCTGTATAACTGGAAAACTCATAACCCATCCTTTTCCCAAGACCCGCAGGCCCTAACAGCCCTGATAGAATCTATCCTCCTTACCCACCAACCCACGTGGGATGATTGACAACAGCTCCTGCAGGTCCTCCTAACTATGGAGGAAAAGCAGAGAGTCATTCTGGAAGCCCGAAAGCATGTCCCGGGGGCAGACGGGAGACCAAACCAACTGCCAAACGAGATCGAGGCTGCCTTTCCCCTCACCAGACCTGCTTGGGATTTCAACACGGCTGAAGGTAGGGAACACCTACGTCTTTATCGCCAGGTGCTTGTAGCGGGCTTCCAAGGGGCAGGGAGACGCCCTACCAATTTGGCCAAGGTAAGATCAGTAATGCAGGGAACTGACGAGCTGTCCACTGTGTTTCTAGAAAGACTTAAAGAGGCATATCGGAGATACACCCCCTTTGACCCCGATAGCCCCGATCAAGAAGTGAGTGTCTCGATGTCTTTCATATGGCAGTCAGCTCCTGATATTAGGAGTAAGCTCCAGAGAATGGAAAATCTGCAGGGGCAAGGTCTTAGGGATCTCTTAAGAGAGGCAGAGAGGATTTTTAACAAGAGAGAGACTCCAGAAGAAAAAGAGGAGAGACAGAGAAGAGAGGCAGAGGATAGAGAGACAGTGAGAGACAAAAGGCGGAATAAGGAATTGAGTAGAATCCTGGCCACAGTAGTAAGAAAGGAAGACGAGAGCAGAGTAGAGAGGAAGGGAGATTGAGGGTGTGTCGAACTAGAGAAAGACCAGTGCGCCTACTGCAAGGAAAAAGGACACTGGGTAAAGGACTGTACCAAGAGAAAGAGAAAACAGAGGGAAGAAAAAGCTGAAATCCTTAACCTCGATTAGGGAGGTCGGGGCCAGGAACCCCCACCTGAGCCCAGGGTAACTCTTCATGTGGGGGGACAGCCAGTCACCTTCATGGTAGATACTGGGGC